AAAGAAAAAATTATTGAATATAATTGTAATAGATGTCAATGGATTAAATCAACAATGTTTTATGAAATTTGAACTTTGTCAATTATCGATAAACAAATTGATTTGTATATTGCTATTAACTTACATTCTAATCTGATCTTTACAATTTTCATTCATTATTTCATCAACGTGATCAAACTGAATAAAATATTTTTTTTTAATTTAATTTATTCAATTTTCCTTCATAAATCTCCTTTTTTTTTCTCACTTTAATAAAATAATAAACAAATTTTATTCTTATTTGTTAATTAACTTTTCTTTTCCAATGAATATATATCTTAAACCATATTAAACTATTGTAAACAACTAAACTTATACTTATGCAATGTAAAATTATGAGAGAAAAATTGAATAAATATTAATTTAGTTTTAAAAAAAAAAAATACTCCCAATATCATTCGTTTCATTAAATGTACAAATATTAATAACATGATAGGACATTTGTTTTTTTGTTTTTTTTTTTTTCATTATCTTAATTATATTCTCCTTTTTTAATTAATTCACTCCATTAAATGATAATAATGATAATACAATGAATAATTGTAATGCTATCAAATATAGATTAACCAAAATTTTAACTTAAAAGAAATCATCTTAAAGGTCAAACATTTCAACTTAAAAGAAATTATCTTATAAAGGTCAACTATAAGGGTTACACAATATGATAATATAACAATAACCTGAATAATTCTATTCTATCAATTCTTTTAATTTTTATTATTCAAATTTAAAATTACATATGATAATAAATGTGATACATATATACATCTTCATTGGATCTTCCTTATCTAAAATATTTGAAAAGAGAAATGTAAAGTGTGAAAGATTAAAAGTGATATTAGTAATATAGTTAGTTAGTAATAGTAGTAAGCAAGTAATTAAGTAAATAAGTAAATAAATAAAATAGCACTCTTATCCTCTGTCAAATTTCATCGATTTTTTGCTTCTTTTCATCTTAAAAATTCAACATATCGATAATTTTTCATCTTATCATTTATTCATTTCATTCATCCATTCATTCATTTCATTCATTCATTCTATTTCACATACAAACCAAACAACACTTCATCAGTTAGCCAAAATGATAACATCCAAGTATTATGCTGATCTATCCATTTCATTTTGTTTTCTTTTACTTTTTTTTTTCCTTCTTCATTCCTCCTCCTCCTCCTCCTCCTCCTCCTCCTCTTCCTTCTCCTCGTCCTTTTCCCTATCGGAAATTTAGTTTTTATTTTTGAAAAACATTTATATTGTCTTGATGTTTTTCTTTT